TGTCGCTAGAGTCCGATAAGCCAAGCCTTAACGCTTTTGCTCCTTGTAAAAATATAAACCCGAACCCAACAAGAGCAGGACGGAGTCGGATCCAGAGGGATTCATCAACAAGAAGGGCTTCCGACATATTTTGTAATACCCCAAATTTTGTCTAGTGACTAAAATATAAGTTTTAAAAGTTTAGTAGATAAAATATAAACTTTAAAAAGTTTAGGGATCAAAATTGTAATTTTAAAAGTTACATATTTGAGTATGTAAATGAACATTTTGGATTAAAACATAGATTTTAGCGGGAATCCGATTTTTTATTACGAGAATTGTGTTAAAAGTTATAAAGTAGTAAAATTTGGTATTTGAATCGGATATTCGGATCGAATCAGAATTTTACAAAAATTTGAAGGATGTTAGAAAATGGTTGGAAAATTAATTTAATATTTTAGATCAGAGAAATTTGGCTCAAAACAGTGCAATTTTTTTAGATTTGACTGAAACAATGGAATTTTAGTGACTAAAATGCAATTTTCAAAAATTGCATGGCCAAAGTGAAAAGTAAAAGCCAAGTTGATTCATCTTTGATCAAGGAATATTTTAATGGATATTATGACAATGGAAATTGGTAATTTTTAAGTTTCATTAATGGTAAATATGAAATTTCTTAATAATTGAATAAAAAATTCAATTATATTAGTATTAAGTCATGTGTTAAGGCTAATTATCACTAGAAAAATCAAGAAAACTTGATCATTTTCATCTTTCATCTCTCCAAGGCCGGAACTCCAAGGATTCCCAAGGTAAAATTTTTATTTTGATTTTTGAAGCTATATACTTGATTTTTGATTTTAGCTATTAGATAGAAAATTAATCTATATGAAATTCTCTATCATTTGGTACCAAAATTTCATGGTGAAGATGATTGTGTTATGGGATTTGATGATTAGGGTAATGAAGAGTTTAGTATTTTAAAGAGTTGATGAAGGATTTTTATGTTTTTGATGTTAGTGATTATTTCTAAAGCATGTGCACTGATTAAAATTAATTGAACATGTGTATCTAAGGTTTGGTCATGTTAGGGTTTGTAAGAATGATGGAATTTTGATTCAATTTGATGTTGTGATTATTGGAAATGCATGAATTTAATCATAGGAGGTTGAATTCATGTTTGAAATTGAACAAAAAGGCCCCCTAAGTGACATGAAGCATTCAACCATAGGGAAGAAAATTGGGGGGAAATGTTGAAAAAAATTCTATGGATTTGAAATGATATTAGAAGCATTCCATGTGATTTGGAGATTGATTTGGAACCTTAAAAGTGCAAAAGGGCTAGTTTAGAAGTTTTTGGAATTGTGGGATATTATCGTAAGATTGAAATATTTGAATTCAATGTTGATTGTTGATACTTGTAATGCTGAAAATTTAGTTGGAAAGTTGTTTGGAACCAAATTGCAAATTTGGTAAAATTGGAGGTGGAATTCGAAATGTCTCAAAACCTTGGGGACTTGTTTGCAAGTTATTAAATGTAGAGGTATTATTTGGGTAAATTATTGAATGTTGGAAAATTTATTAGTATGCTGAATTTTGAATTAAATTTTGAGTTAGGGTTGAATTACAAATTTATACAATTAGGTGATTGAAAATCGAAAGTTAGGAAAGTTTTGGGTTGAAATTATAAATGTTTTGAATGTTGAAGTATTGATTTGAGTATTTTATTAAAGTGCTGGAATTTTAGTAATTAATGTGCAATGATCTTAATGGCGAAGGACCATTATGAACTAAACGAAAAAGTTGAGGTGAATTCTAAAAAGAATTCATAATTTGTGGCTTATTTGTGTAAATTAGCATAAGACAAAGGGTTAATGATGAAAATAAATATTCATGGATTTGGATGAGTATTTTTGAGAACTTAGAAATTTTAGTGGAGATACGATTTAGTTTGATATCGATTTAATTCTGATTTTTATTTTATAAATTTTCGAATGTTAAAATCAGCCTATGTTAGTACAATATTAATGTGTAGTTTGAACACTTTGTGTTATTATTTGGTATTGTCAGACCACGACAAATCTAGCAAATGAACGATTCAAAAGGAAAGGAAAAAGCATGTGATTAGGAATATCGCGTAAAGGGTACTATAGTGAGGTAAATATGAGTGCAACTTATTTATTTAATTATTTTGATTGAGGACGACTTGCGATAAGTTAACCTCAGTTCAATTTACAACACGATTTATAAAGCGTATAAAAATATTTCTATAATATTTATGTCAGTTTTATGAATGACTTAGGGTATGAACCGTGCAAGCACGATATTTTTTATGATGGATTTTAGACGTTATCATTGATAAACTATTAATTAATAAATGATTTTATATGATACATGAGCCTATTGTATGTATATTGAGAATTGTTGGTACATTTGACAAGCCATTAGTTTAGTACTTTTCAGTTATCAGTTATCATATTAAATTTGGTACATTTGTGTACCAATGTCCATCACCGTTGGTGTTCAGGTTATGATTGCACTGAAGTACGTCATATCTCAGTATTAGTTATGATTTTTCATCGTGTTGTGTATAGTGCGCACTGTACTCACGTATCTTATGTTCAAAAATTTTGAATGATTTTCAATTGATAGAAAACATGATATGATTATTTTATCAGACATTGATTATCAGAATTTTCACGAGTTCATGAATTAAAAGAAATTTCAAGTCTCAGTAAAGAAGCTCGCTTGGATAAGTCAACTTTACAATTTAATATTTCATTTAAAATTATTTTATTTATGTTTATGATGTTTTCAGATTTATCTCACCTTAGATTACTACTGCCTCACTAAGTTATACTTAGCGTGTAATGATTTTCATGCGTAGGTTCTAATAGAGATAAATATGAGCAGTAAGGAGCCTCCCGAACATCTTTTTGGAAAATCATACCTATCATCAGTATCAGTAAGACATTTACGATGTTTCTTTTGACTTTTAGTGATATGTATAATTATGTCAGTAGTTCTATTTATTGTATTTATTTTAAAATAATTTGTAAAAGTAAACTATAACTACTTTAGTTTATTTTACTTAGTTTAGTTTTATCAATATTTATGCATGAAAAGAATATTTATATTATTATGTTCTAAAAAGATTTTATGAAAATTTATGAATCGATAAAATCACTGATTAACAAATGAATTTATTTTTCTACGACAAAGAATTAATTTATAAGTTAGGATATTCATAAAATAGTTTCTAAAGTTAAAATAGAAGCGTTTTAAAATGAAACATTTTTTTAAGGAAAATTTCAGTTCAATAAATATTTTATAAGTTGATGTAACACATTTGACTTGTATATCGAGACGTATACGAGTTAAGGTGTTACATAGTCTGTTACAAGGCTTCCTCGTACGATAAAGCTTTAGCGAAACCAGAAGGGAGAATCGATGACAGTAGCAGTAGACCCCATGCAAGCTTCTAGATGGTTGGGTCTTGATAAAAGCTGGTTTGAGTGGTGAAGCAATGGAGAACAATAGTGGTTGTCTGGTTTCTGTTCTGTCAGAGAGAATGGAGAGCAATGAAGAAACATGGGTTGAAGAAGAAGAGACTTGGAGTGGAGAGCAATGGAAAAAACATAGGTTGATCAAACCAATTTTATTAGATGAACTTGCGAAATTCGAAAAGGCTTGGAAAGGTAAAAGTGAGAGTCATTTGGCTGGTTGGAGTGATGGCTTTAGCAAGCCTGCTAATGCTGGTACACATTTCTTTTAACCTTTTATATAGAAGGTTTCATTTTAATGGATTTAGCAACCTTCATTATCATGCCAATGACATCATTTCTTTCATTTTCTTTTTCTTTTTGAATATACAATGTGAATGTAGGACCTAGAAGTCATGAACAGAGGGGTTTGGCAGTGAATGACAGTCGAAGACATCCATATAGAGAGCATGGCAAAAAAGGTGGAAATCAAGGAGAAAACAATGAAGAAGAAGAAGAAGAAGAGTCAAATGGTTGGTCAAACATACCGAGTCAGCTGGTTTAACGTGCTATGTCATCATTACGTTAGTGTAGTAACGATCTATTAACGGTTGTTAACGTCGAGTTACCATTTGTAACAAACGATAACTTTAATGACCATTTTATAACAAACGATAACGTTAGTGATCGATTAGTGACTTTTCAAACATTAGTGGTGAAAACAATCATTCACCCAAACATTAGTGATCATTGGCGTAGTTTACCCTTAGCTTCAGTTTTTAAATAAATACAGTTAAATTATTTTTGAAATTTTATTTATTTATTTATAAAATATATTAAAGAAAAACAATAATTAAAAACTTCACCAAATACTTTGATTAGGTGAAAAATAATAGAATAATATTTTGATAATTGATTATTAAAATTTAAATATTATATATATAAATTGATTATAAATATCTATTAATATGAAGAAATAATTTTAAATTATAAATAAATTAATAATAATAAAAAAATCAACGAGAGACGTGCTTTCGTGGAACTTTAATTTTGGACCAGAACATTTCCTTGACTTTTATTTGATTATTGAGAACATTTCTCTGATGTTATTTCCACACCATACCGTCTCCCATTAACATCTTAGTCAAGATCTAAATTTATGACGCTGACATAGTCCAACTCATCAATATGTTAGTTTGATGTATTTATGGATTGTTATTTTAGATTTTATACTTTAAAATTATTTCATACATTCTTTTGGTAATTTTTTTATTAAATTTATTAATTTATGTTTATATTAAACACTATATAGTATTATTAGCTTTTACCCATAGTAAAATAAGGAAAATTTGTCGTGAGTTTAACGAGCAATGAGTTTAGCAAGCAACGAGTCGAGTTGAGCAACAAAATTCTTTAATAAACTTAACGAGCAATGAATCAAGTCAAACAACAAATTTTTTGGCGAGCACAAGTCAAACATTTATCTAACTTACGATTGACTCGCTTGTAAGTACCTCTATTTGGGATTAAGGGCTAAATCATATTGTATTCCCGAGATTAGGGTCTAGCACATTAACAATAGTAATAACCTTTTCTTTTTAGAGTTTGAACGATGAACTACCCTTGCAAATTTATGAATGACTTGCATTTCATGGTCCACCAAATTAACCTATGTCGGAACAGTAATGGCTGATGACACTACACCTGTATTTGAATGGGGTCCGGCCCGAATGCTTACCGGCCATGATCAGTTAAAGGATCTGCTATTGGGACCGAAACTTCGATTCCTCAATGACTCCCTCACTCTATTCCATGGACTCGGTCTAGTAGCCATTGAATCACCCTCCGAAAACAAATAACCCTTTTCTGAGATTTGACCCGAGGATTCCCGGGTTAACGGTTCGATTCCTCGGGTTGCTTCATTATCAGTCTCGGAGGATGGATCTCCCAAGGGTTCATCGGAGCCTGCAATCCCTTGTGCGAGACCCTCTTCCATTTCCACAAGATTATCCTCTTGGCCTTGGGGCGCCGTATAATTCCAGTAAAATGCGTATGCGAAGACTGTAAGAAAGGGCAAGGAGCCTATACTCATGACACCCAACATCAGAAAATATCGATCCAGCTGACTTTCGCCACTAGTCTCTCCAAACCATTCTCTGAAAACAAATATAATTACTACACTAACAATTTTACCCATTCCCATCACCATTTTATTGAATGGTAACTCGTACAATCTCATAGATTCTGGGACCAGGTTATAGAAAGAGCCCCTCATCCCTTCCTCAACGAGTCCGCCCGTAAATCCCAAGAGCACAAACTGAGGAGTCAACCATAGGATATTCATCGGAATCCGCTCAATCTCGCTGTCGGACACTCCATACTCGTTGATTAACTTCAATCTGCGAACCTCGACCCGCCAAGCAGCTATGCAACACAAAAACGAAACCACCATTCCCATAGCGTTTCGTATGACAAAAGCACGCCTTGCTTGGTTTTCCTTCCAAAATTTTGAGGTTATAATAAAATCCACCAACTGGGAAGTTGTGAACTTTGTTAAGGAAGTGATAACAACGAAAAAAGTTAGAGGAATTCTGAAACCCTTTCCGATTCCATCTTCCAGGTAGTCACTTTGCTCGAGGAAGAAAGTGCTCCCTGCTGACTCCACCAGACAATAGACGAGGAACATCATCCAAAGAGGGACCAATCTTAAGAGACTCCTGGGGTTGTTCATCTGCAATCTAATATTGCTTCGAGGGGGTTCTTTGCTGTAACATCGGATGCCTAGCAAAAAGGCCAAAGAAGCCGCTCCCGTTATTATTGATGAAATCATGACAGTTTGCTTCAGTGACAAGAAGCTTGATGTTACAATAGGAAACAGGGCACCCAGAAACCAAGCTGTACGCCACCAAAACTGTTGCCGAGCCTCCGCCCTTTCCAACTCTTCCGTTTCCGAGTTCGGGTTCTGACTAAATTGGTCCCTGAGAAATGCTTCCAGAGTTGGACTTCGCCCACCTTTCCCCACTGTTACTAGTAGCAGTGCCATGTAAAATGTTCCACTGCTGCCAGTGTGAAAACATAACATCACTAATCCCTGTAATAAAAAAAAAGCAGGTGAATCAAATTAGTCCCTTGATCTTAATCCGATGAAATAAACGTTCAGTCCTCACTTACAGTGATGAAAGCTGCAGTGGTGTAACCAACGACCTTGAACCGGCCTAACCATTCGTCGGCAACATAGGCGATGACAAGTGCAAAGAGTATGGATACACCTTCTTGGGCATTGACAATGGCCGCTGCTTTGGGGAGATGATAAGTTTCCCAGCTACTTGTGACGAATGATATCAACACAGAAAAGAAAGCTTTTTCTACAAACGAATGACTGAAAACTAAACCTGTGTGCATGCAATAATCAACTAATGTAAATACTCATTTCGGGAGTAAACTGGAACAGCTAATTACATTACCTGAGATAAATAAAGCAGCTTTGGAGAAACAGATGTTATAAGACGCCCAGTTGGATAATTCATTCCTCATCTTCTGAAACATTTTGATGAACCCCATCTTTTTTTCTTCTCTCAAAATATAATGAATCTCGTTTTAGTATTAATCACAATCTCTCTTGTATTTATACCAACTCGGTAATTCCTACCATGGAGAAATGGTTCCTATTGGCCTGAATCTTCCTGGAAAGTGCCCGGCGTGATCGCTTTTTAATGATTAATGTAAGAGAAAATAACTTCAGTGACCGAAAATTTCTTATAATATACGATTGTGACCAACTTTTTTTTCGATTTGTCAAAATAACCAACAAAATCGCAATGCGATCTCTAAATCGCAACGCGATCTCTAAATCGCAACGCGATCTCCATTATCACAACGCGTATTTTATTTTCAAATTCCAAACACGAATGTTAATATATTCCGTAATCGTAACTCTTAACCTAAAACCCTAAATCACAACTCAGTCCCATCTCCATCTCTCACTCTCTACGGCGACATTCGTCCCCATCTCCGACGAAATCCGTCCTCATCTCCGGCGAAATCCGTCTATCTCCATCTCTCAGAGCCACCCTCACAATCATTCACGAACGATCAGAAATGGAAAATCAATCAAATCAACCACCGATGGTTAGTTTTTTTAATTATTTTTATTTTAAAATTTTTACGTTATTATTAGGTTTTTCATATTGAAATTGATGATAAGTTTACTGGTAATTTCAATAATAGATTAACCATTTCACTTAGATTGCTTATTAAATTCATTTGATTGCTGCCAATACTACTAAACTGTTTAGTCTTTAACCCTGTGAAGTTAGTATTTGTCTTTGTTTTGTCTTTTGGTTGAAGTAATGCAATTCATTCAAGTTTCAAATTTAGACAATGACTATTTGAAACCGAGAATCGCAACGCGAAATAAAAACCGCAACGACAAAATTGCAACGCGATTTTAGTTTCGCGTTGCGATAGTCATTTTCGTGTTGCGATTTTAAGTTTCAGAAACTATTCTTCTTCTGCAAATTGAAACTTGAATGAATTACATTACTTCAACCAAAAAACAAAGACAAATACGAATTTCACAGTGTTGCAAATTTAAGTTTGAAGAATAAACTACTACTCTTTATGTTTATTATTGTTTTTGGTATATCTTCACAGTGTAGTTTTTGGTATATCTAACTTGGTATGTTTATTGTTTTTGTAGAACTTTTTTTTTTGCTCAATTGACCTTAAGGAATAAAATAAGCCTAGTCACTACAATTGCGTCGAAGCTTTCACCTGTACAAAGACAATTGTTTGAGGATACTTGCTTCGGGCCATGGCTGAAAGTACAACATCCGGGTGGAGATGCTATGTTGACCCATTTGTGGCTTCAAACCATGACACGCGATCTACCCGAGAGTATAGAACGTGGTATTGAAGAGATATGGTTTCATTTTCCACCGGCGTATACGTGTTTTGGGCGAGAGGAGTTTTGCTTAATCACTGGTCTACGCTTCGGACACGATGATATAGGTCGATACACTAGTCATATTACCCGCCCATCATGGTTATCCCGGGTTTTTCCTGAGCTGTCAATGGAGAAGCCGAATTTACACGTCGACGACTTGGCGAGATTATTTAATAAGAAAGATGGTTTTACTCAGATGGATGACGTCGATGTTGTTCGAGTATGCCTTTTAGTACTTTTGCATGCTGGCTTTTTAGGCAGAGAGACCAGACAACCTATTCCTAAGGACCTAATATTATTGGTAGATGACCTAAATGCATGGAACCTGTTTCCGTGGGGTTCGTATCTATGGAAAGCTACCTTGAATAAGTTATCGCCTGCCTTTGATGACCGCAAAAGTTTGCATGGCGATGGTTCCAAATACACTTTGTCAGGCTTTATTTGAGCCTTTAAGGTAATAATTTCTATATAATGTTTCCAAAATTATAATTAATTATTTAACAATTACTAATGTTTGTGTATTATATTGTTTGTAGATTTGGATATTTGAGGTTTTTCCCGACATGCAGACATATGCATTAAAAACTTCAAATGATATTCCTAGGGTTATTTCCTGGAAGAGGAAACGGCGGTTGTTGATTTGGGAAGAGTTACTACGATGTACGACAATAAATGATGTAAGTTAACACAAATACTACCATATATGTTTATAAACAAGTTATTACTAGTACACATTTAACTTTGTTTGAGCTTTTATATTGTTAGGAGGCCAACACTCCATTATAGAGGCTGACACCCACGGAGGCTGAGCTTGCCACTGATTGGTGGCAAGCTAGTAAGCGTTTTTTTGATGGCACGGATGATGGGCAGCCTCTACTTCGAGAGTCATCACCTCACCCAGAGCCATCACCTGATCGACCACACTATATACCTCTACAACGAGAGCCATCACCTATTCCGTCACATCATCGAGCCTCTTCTCCACCATCACCTCATGATAGGCGATCGGAAAAGATGCCACGACATTTATCTCCCTGTTCTTCACCTCCACGGGATGAGTTAGGGGAGCTACATGATGAGGTCAATGCCTTGCGTGAGGAGGTAGTACTTTACGCGATGACAATAGTGCATGGCGTGATGAGGTATCGACTTTACGTGGTGAGGTAGCGGCTCTACGTGAGATGGTAACATCGTTGTAGAATGAGGTTCATACTCTACGCAACGAGGTAAGTTTAAGATTTTTCATATTTAACTTGATTTACTCATAATTTCACTTAGATTAACAATTTCACTTGGATTGCTTAGTAAATTCATTCGGTTGCTGTCAATACTGCTAAACAGTTCTAAAATAACCCTGTGAAGTTAGTATTTGTCTTTGTTTTGTCTTTTGGTTGAAGTAATGCAATCCATTCAAGTTTCAATTTGCAGAAGAAGAATAGTTTTTGAAACTTAAAATCACAACATGAAACTTAAAATCGCAACGCGAAAATGACTATCGCAACGCGGAAATGACTATCGCAATGCGAATTTGACTATCGCAACGGGATAATCGCAATGCGAAATAAAAATCGCAACGTGAAAATCGCAATGCGAAAATGAAAATCGCAACGCGAATTTAGTTTCGCGTTGCGATTTTGGTTTCGCGTTGCGATAGTCAAATTCGCGTTGCGATAGTCATTTCCGCGTTGCGATAGTCATTTTTGCGTTGCAATTTTAAGTTTCGTGTTGCGATTTTAAGTTTAAGAAACTATTCTTCTTCTGCAAATTGAAACTTGAATGGATTGCATTACTTCAACCAAAAGACAAAGACAAATACTAACTTCACAGTGTTGCAAATTTAAGTTTCAAGAATAAACTACTACTCTTTATGTTGTCCTTGAACATGCACTAAACCTATATGTTGTCCTTTTAAATATTTATATAAGTGATTACTTCTGGAATGTTATCTGATGCATTTTGTGAACTATGATAGAATAATGACTTGGGTGAATACCGTGCAAGTTTGAAACATATTTGTCTTTGTTTTCACTGTTTAATATCATGTCTGTTTATTTACTGATTTATGTATTAATTTATTTTTAGCGGCCCGATAAAGTGGATGCTTTATGTCGGGCTTTTCTTGCAGGACGGGGTTCACGCATCAGACGGCGTGCACGTGCCATTATGTCTCCGTTCATCCCAATAGTACGAAGACTCCGTAAGAAGAAGCCTGACTCACCTGTCATCGTTCAAGATGCCTCTCCTATCATTCAAGAGGCCCCTATCATCCCTCAAGAGTTCCCTCCCATTGTTCAAGAGGCCCCTGTCATCGTTGAAGAGGTCCCTCCCACCATTTTAAAGCCCGATTCACACGACGTAATATGTCGAATTATTGAGAAACCCCCTCACGTGCCGGACATGATGGATGACTGTTGGATTTCGTATGAGTTACCGGCCAGTACCATTTCGACAGATGAAGTGGAGAGGAGACAACTACCGGAAACAATTCTGGATAATACCCTTTGGGCTAAGACCGCAGTTAATTTTTATCTACACGAGCGGAGCCAGGGGTGTTACGCTGACATATACAAACTCAACGATGATATGCATTTGTTGATTGATCGGTCTTGGTGGGGTGTGTTATTAGGGGTTGAAGACAAAGGCTATTTCGATGGGGGGTAAGTCTTATATTTTTCTTCTTATATTTCATTTTGATTAATTTTTTTAAAATTTATGTAATTCACTAATATATGTCTTTTTTTGTAAAATAACATATTGATGCATGGGTGTCGCGTCTTCTAATAATAAGGAAAATAAGGAAAAATAAAAAAATACGCGATATACAATTATGCCAACGTCTTTTCACGTAGTTCACTTGAAGAATCAACGAGATGAATCATATGTGTTGGGTAATGGACAAGCTAAACTTTATCCTGCATGGTGAGAGGTCGATAAGGTTAGTATTTATTTTTTAAATATTTTAAAGGTGTTCATAAATAAGTGTGCCAGGTGTTTATCCCTGTTTTAGAACATAATCATTGGTTTCTCGTCGAGCTTCAGCTCCCATCCCTGAAGATAATAGTATATGGCAACATGATAAATTACATATCATTGTCTGATTTGAGAGATATTATTAAGGGATGGAGCTCTCATTTGGCTAAATTCTTGGATGCGAATAATTATTGGACTTATTCTGGAAACAAGAAGCCAAAGAAGTTCAATGTTACAGTTATCAGAGACGAGACCGCTCCACAACAAACGCATGGAGCCAGAGGGGATTGTGGTCCTCTCGTATGGATGTGCTTGGAGCGTTTGACGACAAGAAGTATATAGTTTCTACCTCCCACCGATAGAGATAGAGGTGTAGTAGGCTTGTGGTTTCGTCATTTTATGGCTAGAGCGATATATACGAGACGTTGCCTACCTGCATCCGCGTTATGAAAGTGTCCATAAACAATTGGTAAGTCAAATGCAAGTGTTGTTAAGTACCTAGAATTCAATAATTTGCTGTTTGTTGATTTCAGATGTGTAGAAAGTGTTGTTTGAGCAAATGTTTGGTTTCTGCAGGTTAATCCTGAAGTGAGTTGCGTGAAATTGATGTATGGGTGCATAAACAACTGTCTGGGTACACTTTTTTTGATTGTTTAATTGATTCTTAAAAGTGTGATTTGTTTAATTGA